TATATACATACATACATACATACATACAGGGGTTAGGCAATGAAACTGAAACACCTGTCATTTTAGTGTGGGAGGTTTTTATGGCTAAATTGGACCAATCTTCATTAACTGCACATTGCACCAGTAAGAGCAGAGTGTGAAGCTTCAATTAGCAGGGTAAGAGCACAGTGTGACATACCMGAGTTCAAAAGAGGACTTCTTGCTTGGAGCATCTGTGACCAAGACAGCAAGTCTTTGTGATGTATCAAGAGCCACGGTATCCAGAGTAATGTCAGCATACCACTAATCAGGATGAACCAMATCCAACAGGATTAACTGTGGACTGTTTATGTTTTTAGTGTTTAGTTCTACTGCTTTTGCTAATATTGCACTCATTTAGCTAACTTTTGCTATCAGCTAACGTCTTTATTTTAATCATCTAGTTACCATCTTGCTATTTTAGTTAGAGTTCTGCTTCTTCTAGCTTTTTTAGGTTTAACTCAGTTCAGACCTCTTCAACAGATTTCAGTGCTCAGAAGTCACTGCTTTTGTTTTCAGAAAGTACATTTTCTAGTTTATTTGTAATCTGTCTGATAAATGGAGCGTTAAACAAAACAGAATAAAGCCGTAAGAAAACTTTTGAGAACTTTGTAACTTTTGTGGAAATGTTTGTATTTATAACCTGCTGTCTGTCTTCTTCCCTCATTCAGTCTTCTCCTCCTCATTTCTTCACCCTCACTGTCTTTGTGCTTGTTATTTCCATGCATCTCCGCCATGTATGTTGTATCTGTATGTCCTTCAGGACAGGCCTGTTCACCCCAGACCTGGCGTTTGAAGCCATAGTGAAAAAGCAGATCATTAAGCTGAAAGAGCCCTGTCTGAAATGCATCGACATGGTCATCCAGGAGCTCATCAACACAGTCAGACAGGGCACTAATAAGGTACACCTGTCAGAATGTCATGCTCATGCACAAACAGCCCTGTCAGGTGCCAGCTCAGCTCAGCAGGAGACAAAATGTGTGTATAGACAGTGTTTTTTTCCTTCTGAAAAATCCAGCTGGTTGCAGCTTTATTTCCTTCTTTCTGGCAGTTTGCTGGTTTTGCTGGATATTTTTTAGTTTGCAAAAGGCACATAAATTTTAAACTGCAACCCATAATTTTGAACAGCATTTTAGGATCAATCCAGTACTCCTAGATCCCACATTAGGGGTGGGTTATATTAATATAAAAATATAACACAATATTTTCATTACAATATCAATAAAGATAATTACACTTCAACATTGTCTGATGTGCTACAGCAGGGGTGTCAAACTCATTTTCACTGAGGGCCTCATGAGCATTATGGTGGCCCTTGAAGGGCCACTTGTAATGAACTTTAACGTTTCGTGTTTAACTTTGAATTAGCAGAGTTTAACACGTCCTCTTTTAAACACTGATAAGAACTAAGTGTATGACTGACTAAATCTGAAATAAATACAGAAATATTATTAAAAGGAAAACAAAGTTTTACTCACTGTTGAGTTTCTAGTGAGTAGCTAATATGCACTATGGCAGATTTAGTTTATGGTTCACTTGATGCTGACTTTAAAGCAGCTTATTTTCAGACATTAATATTGTGCGATCCAACTAATTGCTCAGTTACTTAAAGCCAACAGGTTGGGCAGGTCRTTATTGTCGGCCAACTTTTAAATTTATTTTTGTTGCATTTAATCATAATTGTAAAGTTTACCATTGATGCAAGAATCAATTTTCATGTTAAGTAAAAAATAATTAAATAAAAATAATAATATTTTATTCATTTTTATTTATTTGGGGGGAGGGGGCTGGCGGGCCTTGAGTTTGACAC